CCCACCTCGGCCTCCCAAAGTGCTGGGATTACAAGGGTGAGTCACCGTGTCCAACTTGTAAATGTTTTTTATGTCAAAAAATAGGCGGGGCATGGTGGCTCATGCCTGTAATCTCAGCACTTTGGGAGGCCAAGGCAAACGGATCACGAGGTCAGGGAGACCAGCCTGACCAACACAGTGAAACTCTGTCGCAGCTTGTCATTCCCATTTTACAGAGGAAGATGATGAGGCTCAGGGAGGGGAAGGTGGCGTGTCCAAGGTCACACGGGTGACAGAGCCTAGAGCTGGGATTAGAGTGAAAGTGGTTGGGCTCCTTGTCCTGACTCTGCAGATTTGGCCTCAACAGACAAACTAGCAACCCCTCCTCAGCCCCAGCCCCTTCACAGCAGAGGCCACTTATAGCCTCCAGAATCCATTTTCCTATCCTTTAGCAACAAAACTCACTTATAGTTGGGCACACTGAAGCTCAGCCTAGATGTGGATGCAGGGCTTGCTTGTAGCCAGTGAAATGTAAGTACAGGTGTCATATGGAACCTCTGAAGGTCTCCTTAAAAGGGAAGGGAGAGCCAGGTGTGGTGGCTCACGCCTGTAATCCCAGCACTTTAGAAGGCCAAGCAGGGAGGATCTTTCATGCTCCGGAGTTGGACACCCGCCTGGGTAACATGGTGATAGCCTGTCTCTACAAAAAATACAAAAATTAGTCAGGTGTGGTGGCACATGCTGTAGTCCCAGCTACTTGGGAGGCTGAGGTGGGAGAATCACTTGAGCCCAGAAGCTTGAGGCTGCAATGAGCTGTGATCATGCCACCACACTCCAGCCTGGGCAACACATCGAGATCCTGTTTCTAAAAAACAAAAGGTGGGGTTGGGGGGAGATGGCTTGCAAATGAAGTTTTGTTTAATTTTATAAAAAGCAGACAGGTTTGGGCACAGTGGCTTACACCTGTAATCCCAGCACTTTGGGAGGCCGAGGCGGGCGGATCACCTGAGGTCAGGAGTTCAAGACCAGCCTGACCAACATGGTAAAACCCCATCTCTACTAAAAATACAAAAATTAGCCAGGCATGGTGGCAGGTGCTCGTAATCTCAGCTACTTGGGAGACTGAATAAGGAGAATCACTTGAACCTGGGAGGCAGAAGTTGCAGTATGGGGAGACCCTACCACTGCACTCCAGCCTGGGCAACAAAGCGAGGCTCCATATAAAAAAAAAAAGGCAGAAGCAGGGGAAGAGAGGTGCTGTCTTCCCACCTTTTATCTTTCCTGCTGGCTGAACTTGGACAGAATGTGTGGAGGCCAAGTAGTCATCTGGGGCTACAGAAAACTATGACGGCAGGACAGTGAGACAGTGAACTGTAGACTGCCTTGCCCGCCACCACTTTGAGTCATCACCCCTTCTCTACTACGCCTTCCCTTCGGTATTTACACAGGTTCAAGTTTCTCCCAACCTAAAAGAAAACACCCTTCCTCAATCCTAAGTGTTTAGTCTCTATCTCTGTCTCTTTGCAGACCACCATGTGGGAAGAACTGCCTTTTCTAGGTCTCCATGCCCATTTCTCAGTCATTCCTCACTTTTTTTTTTTTTTTTTTTTTTTTTTTGAGACGACTGTCTGGAGACTTGGAGACTTCCCTCTGTTGCCCAGGCTGGAGTGCAGTGGCATGATATTGGCTCACTGCAACCTCTACCTCCTGGGTTCAAGCAATTCTCCTGCCTCAGCCTCCTGAGTAGCTGGGATTACAGGTGCACACCACCATACTCGGCTCATTTTTGTATTTTTAGTAGAGACAGGGTTTTGCCATGTTGGCCATGCTTGTCTTGAACTCCTGACCTCAGGTGATCCGCCCACTTGGGCCTCCCAAAGTGCTGGGATTACAGGACTGAATCACCGTGCGCGGCCTCTTCAGTTATCTTCAGGATGTCTCAAAAGCATCTCACTTGACTGGGCATGGTGGCTCACGCCTGTAATTCCAGCACTTTGGGAGGCTGAGGTGATCAGATCACAGGGTCAGGAGTTTGAGACTAGCTTGGCCAACATAGTAAAACTCCATCTCTACTAAAAATGCAAAAATTACTGGGCGTGGTGGCTCAAGCCTGTAATCCCAGCACTTTGGGAGGCTGAGGTGGGTGGATCACGAGGTCGAGAGATCGAGACCATCCTGGTCAACCTGGTGAAACCCCGTCTCTACTAAAAATACAAAAAATTAGCTGGGCATGGTGGTGCATGCCTATAATCCCAGCTACTCGGGAGGCTGAGGCAGGAGAATTGCCTGAACCCAGGAGGCGGAGGTTGCGGTGAGCCAAGATCGCGCCATTGCACTCCAGCCTGGGTAACAAGAGTGAAAACTCCGTCTCAAAAAAAAAAAAAAAAAAAAAAAAAAGCAAAAATTAGCCAGGTGTGGTGGCGTGCACCTGTAATCCCAGCTACTTGGGAGGCTGAGGCAGAAGAATCGCTTGAACGCAGGAGGCAGAGGCTGCTGTGAGCCAAGATCGCACTGCTGCACTCCAGCCTGGAGACAGAGGGAGACTCTGTCTCAAAAAAAAAAAAAAAGAAGAAAAAAGCATCTCACTTTGCCCAGGCCCTCCTTAGCCACTCTGAATGAGGATTCTGTGCTGCCTTGTGCTCCTGTTGCCTCGAAGGCCACTCCTTCTTGGTTGTCTTGGCAGGCTCAGCCTCTGCCCTGAGCTCCAGTCCCCTCTATCTAATGGACAACTTGACCATTCTTCTTGCATGTCTCAAAAACACCTCAAACTCAACATGTCCAAACTGAACTCAGGGTCATTCCCATCTCCCTACCTGCAAACCTAGCTGTTCTTGCCAGAAATCTGGGAGAATCTTGGATACATCTCTTCCCATCACCACCCACAACCAAACCATGATCAAGCCATGACGATTTCATTTCCTAAATAAAATCCACCCGCTATTCTGTCACATTTGCTTAGAACTGTTATAACAGTTCCTTAATTGGTCTTCCTGTCTCTACTCCAATCCCCCTAAAAATCTGTGTTGAACACAGTAGTCAAAGTCTTTCTATGAAAGTTATCAAACATCTCTCTACCAATGGGACCCAGTCAATGGCTTGCTTAGAAGGCAACAGCTTCCCTCTGTCCTCCAGATGAATAAACTCCTTGGTCAGACCTGGTCCCTACAGCCCCTTCATCTCTCTCCTTCTGCATCTCTGTGCAAGCCACAGTGGGTTCATGTGACAGGTGTGCTTTTTTTTTTTTTTTTTCTTTTTGAGGCAGAGTCTCTCTGTGTTACCCAGGCTGGAGTGCAGTGCAGTGATCTCAGCTCACAGGAGAATCGCTTGAAAACCTGGGAGGGAGCAGTCGCCTCCCAGATTTTCACGCGATTCTCCAGCCTCAGCCTCCCAAGTAGCTAGGATTACAGGCCTGGCCACCACGCCCAGCTAATTTTTTTTTTTTTTTTTTTTTTTTTTTTTTTGAGACGAAGTTTCGCTCTTGTTACCCAGGCTGGAGTGCAATGGCTCACTGCAACCTCCGCCTCCTGGGTTCAGGCAATTCTCCTGCCTCAGCCTCCTGCGTAGCTGGGATTACAGGCACGTGCCACCATGCCCAGCTAATTTTTTGTATTTTTAGTAGAGACGGGGTTTCACCTTGTTGACCAGGATGGTCTCGATCTCCTGACCTCGTGATCCACCCGCCTCAGCCTCCCAAAGTGCTGGGATTACAGGCTTGAGCCACCGCGCCCGGCAATTTTTTAAAAATGCTTTTAGTAGATGGCCGGGCGCAGCGGCTCATGCCTGCAATCCCAGCACTTTGGGAGACCGAGATAGGTGGATCACCTGAGGTCAAGAGTTCAAGACCAGCCTGGCCATCATGGTGAAACCCCCATCTTAAAAAAAAAAAAAAAAATTATAGTTTTAGTAGAGACAAGGTTTCAACATGTTGTCCAGGCTGATCCCAAACTCCTGACCTCAGGTGATCCACCACCTTGGCCTCCCAAAGTGCTGGGATCACAGGTGTGAGCCACAGCGCCTGGCCGACAAGCATGCTTTTTGAACCCACAGGCACCCTTTCTTTGCACTAAGTGTCCCCTCCACCTTGCCTGCTCTTCCCTGTTGCCAGCTAACACCTCACTTCCATGCCACCATCCATAAACTTCACTTGGAATGTCTTATGTATGTAAATGTTGTCCTCTCCAATTAAAATGTTAACATTTTAGGCTGGGTGGGGTGGCTCACACTTGTAATCCCAGCATTTTAGTAGGCAGAAGCAGGAGAATCATTTTAGGCCAGCAGTTTGAGACCAGCCTGGCCAACATAGCGGGACCCTGTCTGGACAAAAAAAAAAAAAAAAAAAAAGATAGATTAGCTGGCATGGTGGTGGCACCTGTAATCCCAGCTACTCGGGAGGCTGAGGCAGGATAATTGCTTGAACCTGGGAGGCAGAGGTTGCAGTGAGCCAAGATCGCGCCACTGCACTCCAGCCTGGGAGACAGCAAGACTCCGTCTCATACAATACAATAAAATAAATGTTAGCTTTTTGAAGGTTTGTCTTGCTCGCTGCAGTACCCACTATACAGCCAGGCAGGGTCACCCAGTGAACATTTGCTGAGTGAATGAATTGTTCCTCCCTCGCCCCAAATGTGTTCAGAAAGAACCCTCAGGAGTTCAAGACAAGCCTGGCCAACATGGTGAAACCTCATCTCTATTAAAAATACAAAAATCAGCAGGGCGTCGTGGCTCATGCCTGTAATCCCAGCTACTCAGGAGGCCGGGGCAGGAGAATCCTCTGAGGCCGGGAGGCAGAGGTTGCAGGCAGCTGTGATTGCGCCACCGCTTGGGTGACAGAGTGAGACCCCGTCTTAAAACATAAAAAATAAAGATGAGCGAGGAGCAATCGGCCCGGGAAAAAACAAAAACAAAAACAAAGTCCAAAAGCGCGCCTGCGCACACGCTCCGCTACGGCTCCATCCCTCGGCCGTGGGGTGGCGCTCGGCGCATGCTCCCCGGCAGCGCGGCCATCCTCGCCTCCTTCGGGCCGCTCTAGCCGCCCCACTCGTTGCTCTGCGGGGAGGCGGGCGCGCCCGCCCGGGTTCCTCCAAGATGGCGGCGCAGAGGAGGAGCCTGCTGCAGAGTGTGAGGAACCGGCCCGCTCTCCGGGCTTGGGGTTGGGAACCTGGCGGGGGGGACTGTCGGGTGCAGGAATGGCTCCTTCTCCGCTTGTGGACCGCCGCCCTCTCGGCGGTGGGATGTGTCTGCCATCCTCTACTCTCTTCGGGCTGGCTCCCTCTTTCCCAAGGCTGGGGCGCGTGCGCGCGGCGGGCCCGGCCCCCCGAGTCCGGCCCCCCAGGGACAAGGGCGCCAGGGCTGTGGGCTGCTGCTGCCGGTCGTGGAGGGCGGGAGCTTCCTGGAACCGGAGGGGAATACGGCACGCGGCGGCAAAGCCACCCGAGTCTCGAGCCCACCGTGGCACCGACCAGTCTTGCAATGATAATAACAGCAGCATCCTCTGTGTACCGCTGACTGCATCCCCGGCGATGTGCTAATTGCTTTACATTTGTCAGTTTAATTTTCGTAGCAGCCCCATGAGTTAGGTGCTACCGTGCTATTCCTATTTGACAAATTGAGACACAGAGTTGGTCGTTAGCCTAAGGCCACACAACTGGTAAGTATCCGAGGCAGGGTTAAAATCAGGCAGTGTGATTCCAGAAATCCCCTTACCCCTGGGCTGTAGTAGAGGAATGACCAGTGGCGGCGGTCAGTGGGTTCTGGTCATGGCTCTGACTGTGTTTCTCTCAGCCTCAGTTTCCTTCTACTAAGGCGAGAGCGCTGAGTGGAAGGATCGTCTTCAGACTCGTCCCTACCCCCAGTCTGGACTTTCATGGGTTTGGCGCTGTCTTACAGGCCCTGCGTCCTCTGACACGCATGTGCACATAGATGGACACACATGTTGGCACCATGGCTTACTCTGACCTACCAGGGTAGGGTGTCAGCTCCTGGGTCCTCGCTGTTCATGGCACTCTGTTGGAATTGTCTGTGGACTTGTCTGCCTCCTGTACTAGAACGTAAATTCTTTGAAGACAGGGACCTGTGATCTCTTGTTTACCGCTGTGTCCCTAGCGCCTACCACCACGTGCTGGGCACTCAATAAATATTTGTGAAAGAATGAGTAAACGTATGTAGCCAAGCCAGTACTAGGCCTTGGCTTCACAGAGGTGAGCAGACATTGGCTCAGGGATAACCTAGAAGCAGAGCCTTGAAATTACTCTTCCAGGAGCACAGTTCCCAGGTCTCCCCAGTGGGGATTGCTTTCTTCCCCTCCACACCCTTGCTGCCCTTTTATTACTGCCAGGCAGGTCTGTCTTGTTACTGAGTTGGCATTGACTTTAGAGGGCTGGCCCTCTGGTTTGTAAGCTCCCAGAAGGCAAGGTTCCTGTATAAATGTCCCCACTGTAGTTACCGTTTGGGAAACGCTGGCTGGATTGTGACATTGAGAGGAAAGTGGATGGAAAGTGGTAAATGGTACAGGCTGAGTTGGCTTACTGAGAGAGAGCAGCCACCTGGGTCATGTAGAGCAGGTGGCTGCCAGATTCCCTCCCTCCTAGATGTGATGGAACCAAAGGGAAATGTGTTAGAGAGAAGGCCAGCTCTACCAGTCCCAGAGTGTGTTTCTCCAGGTGGTGGTGGTGGCCTCTTTTAAAGAAAGAATAGTTAGCTCTAAACACATTGCATCTTGGTGCAAGGCAAAGGGATGGCAGGGATGTCCTCCAAAGGCCCCTCCACCCTCCTGACGATCAGGACATCCCTTCTCATGGGGTGTATGGATCTCCAGGTGGGATGTGGGGCTTGCTGATGTCACCTCCACTGTCTCAAGTCTGGGGAGAGCAGCTCAGCTCAGACACCTGCATTCAGCGATGGCTGTGAAAGCTGCAGATCTATGGCTACTGGGCAAAGATGAATGAGGTGTGGTGCCCACCCTCACTGTGTAGGCAGACCAGCTTGGGAGAAGGAGCGTATGCCACTGGTACAATACTTGAGGCACAGTTGTGTCATTGTAGACCTGTGTCAAGAGCCCTGGGGCAAGCAGCACAGAATTTTCGAGGCTTTAAAGGATGATAGGAGTTTGCCAAGCAGAGGAGAGGAGACCCATTCCAGGAGGGAGGGTGTGTGTGTGTGTGTGTGTGTGTGTGTGTGTTTGTTTTCTTGACATGTGTTTTTCTTTTTGTTTTTCTTCCTAGAAATGGGGTTTTGCCATGTTGCCCAGCTAGTCTCGAATCCTGGGTTCAAGCAATTGTCCTGCCTTGGCCTCCCAAAGTGCTGGAATTATAGGTGTAAGCCACCACACCCAGCCAAGGACAGGTGTTTAAATATGTGTGCATGTATTCATTAAGCTTTTCACAAGTTAAATACAATTAGTACTACAAGTATATGTGTCGAGGGGCTGCAGAGTGACCTGATATGTCTGGGTCAGTGGGGGCCTGCAGGAATGGCATTTGGAATGGTGTGCTGGGGCCACTTGGTAGAGTGCTTGGTGGAGCATCATCACAGGCAGTGTGACACCTTGAAAGGTCTTTTGAAGCAAAAGGCTTTTTGTGGAGGCTGTGGGGGAGACTGATCTCACTCTGTCACCCAGACTAGAGTGAAATGGTACAATCTCAGCTCACTGCAACCTCTGCTTCCTGGGTTCAAGTGATTCTTGTGCCTCAGCCTCCCAAGTAGCTGGGATTATAGGTGTGCATCACCATGCCCAGCTAATTTTTGTAGTTTTAGTCGAGACAGTGTTTCACCACATTGCCTAGGCTGGTCGTGAACTCCTGGCCTCAAGCAGTCCGTCTGCGTTGGCCTCCCAAAGTGCTAGGATTACAAGTGTGAGCCACTGTGCACAGCCACAAAGAGCTTCTAAAGAAAGCTTGATGTGTTCAAAGGGACCCAGACCTTTCAGCCTGATAACATTTTTAGTCTCATACTGGCTTTGGGCAAATCACTTTACATCCCTGAGCCTTAGTTTCTCCAAAGAGGACTCCTGGGAGTATTCTTGGTATTAAAGGAACTGACACGTTCCCCTCCTAGCCTGGCTTGGTTGCATGCTAACCATAAATTATTACATTCAGTTCTGCCGTGAGTGAATGTCTGCTGTTCATTTCCTTAAATGTCCCTGAGCACTCACTATATGGTGGGCACCTTGTAGGTGCAGGAGACACTGCCTTTGTGGAGCTGACGGTCTAGGAAGGGGGACAGACACTGAGCAGTGAGCAGATACAAGTTATCTGTGATTTTGTAATATCTAAACTACAACATCAGGTGATGCTGTGAGGAACAGTCTGGATTCACACACAGTGCTGGTGGGGGGTTATTTTGGACAGGGTGGTAGGGGAAGACTTCTCTACATTTGATGAGATGAAAAGGAGCAAATGGGAGCAGCGTTCCTGCACAGGGAAGCAGGTGGTGCAAAGGCTGCTGTTTCAGGAGCCTCAGGGGTGCTGGTGCAGCTGGGTCGAGTGCCTTGGGGGAGCATGGGAGTAGCTGAGGTCTGAGGAAGCTGGGGGCCACGCCGGGCTTCACAGGGCCTGATGTGGCCTCTAGATTCCACTTTTTATGTGATGCGAAGCTTTCATGGGGAGCGGGTGGAGTAGGGGCCTGATGTGATGTATGATTGGAGAAAAATCCCTCTTTTGCGTTTGAGTGCTGAGAGTGGAAGCCTGGGACCTCCTAAGAGACTCCTAGAGTCATCCAGGTGTGAGACAGTGGCTTGGCCATGGCATGGCAGAGGAATGGTGGCAAGTATCAGATTCCAGTTGTGTTTTGGAGGAGGAGGAGCTGCCGTGATTTGCTGATGAATTGAATGTGGGGTGCGTGGCAGAGGAGGAAGAGTCAAGAAGGACTCTAAGGTTTTGGTTTAAACAACAGTTGTGCCATTTACTGGGTGAGGGAGCCCTGGAAGAGGGGCACCTTGGGGCAGGGGGGGATCAAGGGTTTGATTTTACCTGTACTGTTACTTAATTATAAAAAAGGAAATCAGGCCAGGCATGGTGGCTCATGTGTGGAATCCCAGCACTTTGGAAGGTTGAGGCGGGAGGATCACTAGAAGCCAGGAGTTCCAGACCAGCTTGGGCAACATAATGAGATCTCATCTCTAAAAAAAAAAAAAAAAAAAAAAAAATTAGCAGGGCGTGGTGGCATGTGCCTGTAGTACTTGGGAGACTGAATGGGGTGATTGCCTGAGCCCAGAAGCTCGATCCTCTCACTGCACTCCAGGCTGGGTGGCACAGCAAGACCCCGTTTCCAAAAAAAGTAAGCTTAAAATCAATTTTTTAAACTTAAACATGTCCTGAGCAATTATATCTGAAATCACGGGTGCTAGCTGTGTAATTTATCTCAAGTATGTTAAAATAAATACGTAACCACTAAAATAAAAAGATCTATTAGGGCACCACCTGTCCCCATTGTGCACACCCAGCTGCTGCCCTAGCACACAGGAAGTGGCCACAATTATTATTAGCCCCTTTAAGAATGAATGAGGAGCTCCTTAGGATGATGACATGGAGAACCTTCCATGAAAACCATAGTGGAAGAAGTGGGGGCCAGGAGTGGAGCTGGTCTCTGAGAAGTGGGTCATCCAGAAGGTTAGAGGTGGTAGGGGCTTTGGGGCCTCAAAAGCTTTTTGGAGAGAAAGGTCTGCCGCTCCCCTGCCCTGAGCCCTCTTCCTGGGGATGCGAGTCTCCCTTTCTGAGCTTTCTTTTTGCTTCTAAGGAATTTGAGTGCTTTCACCATAAAAACACTTGGCCTTTTCATACCATAATTTGATATTCAAGCTTTGGCCTGAGCTTGGAACCATTCTCTGTCCATTTCTGTGGCCCAGGAGTTCGAGACGAGTCTGTGTGTGGACTTTATGAACTATTATGTGACATGGACGCATATGTACATGAGGAGCAAATGCTTGTATCACGCATAGGGTGTCTGTAAAGGCCTTGATGGGTTAAATACCGTTGGATCACTGTAGAAGCTTTTCATACCAAAGCATGAATTTTGGAAACTCCTTCGCAAAATCAAGTCGAAATTAGGTCTTTTGAAACAGGCTTCTTACCGTATTTTTGTGAAATTTCTTGTGAGCAGTTCATTTCTCAGACAGGGAAGAG